GCGGGGTACCCGGGGCTGGGCGGCGGCGAGGGTCGTCCGGCGGTGGCGGGGTTAGATGGCCCCCGCGGCGGGGGTCCGGGGGCCGCAGCCTCACACCGGCTTTGCCCCCGGGGATCCCCGCTCGACAACACTGGTTGCAACAAAACCTCAGATTTGGTAGATGGTTCTACCCATGTATTGGGTCTGAGTTTCCTCCAGGCTTTGATTACTGTCCGCCAGAACAGTGACTTAATCACTCTGTTTTGGTAGGAGTGAAGCATCAAGCACGTCCAAACATCAGATGGGCGAGTGAGGTTCCACTCCACAGACAGTATTCGTTATACAAGAATGGTCCAATGGTGAGCCTGTTGATCCGTGATGACTTTAATAATCCATCTAGCCAGATAAAAATTGTTTTGTCTGGACGGATCTCTTATGCCCAAGCCTCCTTCTTCACGAGGGAGGCAGAGCATCTCCCATGCAACTTTGGACAGAAACCCATCAGCTTCTTCCGCGTATGGCTTCCAAATGAATTTCGCGGCTCTTCTTTTGACACATGAGTTCAAGTGATTACCAAATTCGCGAACTGTTCCCACAAACCATAACAAGGCAAATAGCGCACTGTTTACTACCATTGTTCTTCCAAAAAGGGAAAGGTGCGGGGCTTTACCCCATGAGACCGCCCTGTGAAGGATTTTTTGCAAGAGGATATCCTCCTAACTATCCGAGCTGTCCTCCAAGGTAATTTGAACGCCAAGGAATCTCTCAGATTCTAGGCCCTTGAGCCTCTTCATGCCCCACTCCATGACTGGTTGATAATTTTCGTGCAGAAAGAATAAGGACTTATGCACATTGACAGAAGCCTCTGATAATTCAGAGTATTCATCAAGGCAGTCCTTAAGAGCAGACATTGAAGAGGGAGAATTTTCAATGACTGCAAATAAGTCATCCGCAAGGGCCTTAACTTTATACTCCGTTTGATCTACCGACATACCACGAATCAGAGGGTTCTCCCAAATATTATTAAGCAAACCCTCCAGTTGGAATGCAAAGAGCAGAGGGGCCAATGGGCACCCCTGTCTCAGAGAGCGAGACAATGGAAAGCTTTGTGAAACTTCACCATTCACGATCACGGATGTTGTGGACAAGGTATACAAACCCTTGACCCATGTGCAAAAATTGTCACCAAACTCCATCCACTTCAACGTGGTCAAAACGTATGACCAATTCACTCGGTCGTACGCTTTTTGCAGATCAAGCAGAAGAACCGAGAGGTTAAGTTGCTCGGATTGAATAGTCTCCAGCGATTCTATTGTTGTGACGATATTATCAAAAATGGAACGTCCTTGAACGAAGGCGGCTTGATCCGATGCCACCAAGTCAGGGAGATACTTGCCTAGACGTCTTGCCAACACTTTCGCCAGAAGTTTATATGATACATTCAGAATGGATTTGGGGCGCCAGTTTCTTATTTGAGCCCTATCTCCTTTCTTGAAAAGCAAGGAAATGATACCTTGGCACATATTTTTGGACAAGCGTCCGCCTACTAGCATTTCATTATAAATTTTCACCAATGGTTCAGCCACTTCATCCCAAGTGGCAATGTACATTTCAACCGGCAAACCATCGTTCCCTGGGGCCTTGCCCTTTGACATCGATTGAAGTGCACAGAGTGATTCGACTGAGGAAACTGGCCGATCTAAGTCTAGTTTCCCGACCGAGGACAACCTCACAGTGGTGTTGTTCCAGTGTGGGCTATTCTCTGATAACCTATCTATGACGTTACAGCCTTGAGCTCTGGAGGTCAGAATATCTTTAAAATAAATTGTGGCATAATCACACAATTCGATAAGTTGTTTTGCTCTGGGGGCATCCAGGTCGAAGGGATGTTGTAGTTCTTTCATAGAGATTCGAGCCCTAGATGGCATGAGCTTCTGAAAGGACTCCTTCGTCATTCGATCATTTACAATTACCCCTTTTATTCGCAGTCGTTCGGTCCACAGTTCTGATTTTTGTTGTTGCATAAGATCTCATTCTTACATCAAACGAGCACGTTCTTTTCCCCATACCAGTTCTGAAACTAGATGCTCTCGCATCCTTCCTTCGACATACTCGATTCTTTTCTGCACGTTCAGTTCATTCCGAGATCTGTTAACAGCCAGTATCCTGGAGAAAACATTCAAGAGATTTGAAAAAATCTCGGTACCTGCATCCCACCACTGATCCAAGGTGTTATATGAGGACCGGGTATCTTTCCAGTTTCTCCAAAAGCTTTTCATCCATTCCACCAGCCCTACGTCATTAAGGTTCTCAGTATTGATTTTGAATAAGCCCTTACCTTTGTTCGTTCTGGACAGCAAAAACGATATCAGAAGTGGTTTATGATCTGATAACAGTTGGAAAGTTTTTTTGGACTCATCGACCATATCCCACAGCTTGGCTGAAACAAGGTGGAAGTCTAATCTTCGTTCAGTTATGCCAGACGAATCCCTGCAATTTGAGCACCAAGTGAACCCTTCCTTAGATGGATGAGATAATCTAAATGAATCAATAAGATCAAATTTTTCCATAAGTGTCAGCAAGGCCAACTTATCTCTAGGGCATTCTCCCAATTGAGAATTCCTCAAGTCCAAGGAAGTGTTCCAATCTCCAGTTAGAACTAGTACATCGCCTTCCAGGATAACATATGGTAGTTCAACAAAAAAAGTAGCACGTTCTTTTCGATTGGTTGGAGCATAAATAGAGGCAATCACCCATTCCTTGTCTGCGATTAAGAGTTTAGTCCAAGCCCAACGTCCCCATATATCAAAATAAAAATCGATAATTTCACAATCTAGACGTTTATTAATTGAAATTGGTACACCCCCTTTCGAACCTTGCGCGGGGACCCAGATCTGCGGGCTGTCCCACCAGTTGCCTAGGCTCATTATTTTTTCCTCGTTCAGTTTGGTTTCCTGGACGCACATAATTTGGATGTTTTTTTCAAACATCTACCATTTTAATCTTTCTTTCTTGTGCCTACCGGAGGTATCGCCCAACCCGCGCATGTTCCATGTAGCAATCTTTAATCTAGACATGTCTGGAGGTCAACCCTCTAAGTGATTGGACACGAGGACTCACAGACGTTCCCCCTGAGGAGGGATTTGAGCGGGGTAACCATGACTTTGTCAAGGCCGTCCGTAAAAAAGGGGATGCCAACTTCTTCTCTCTTGGCAGTTTGGCATCGATTTCGGACATGAACTCCGCTCAACCGAAAGGAGGGACGCTAATTTGGCATAATTTCTGGCGACTGTCTTCGCTGAACCAAGCCAAGGGGAGAAGGCGCAACCCTTCCGCTTCTAAGATCTCCAATTGACCCTGCGCAAAGCAAACGTCCAGGATGGGAACGAAGAACTTAATCTTTTTCCCATTCCCTTCTGGTGCGTTTACGATTACACGAGGCATTAACTCCTCGGCCACAAAGCGGAACAGAAATCTATCGCGGGTAGCTGTTCGGATCAACGTAAGAATCGAGGAAGGCATTGGAGATTCGGGAGAATTCAGGGTTTCAATCATAGGACGGCCATCTACACCTAGCCCTGCTACTATCCAAAGCGCATTCCTGACAAAGCAGCACAGGAGGGGTAGGATACGACGTTCAATGTTCTGGATCTGACCTTTCGCTAATGATATCGGCCCTCTTCGTCTCGTTGTTTTAGAACCAGGGGTACCTACTTCCCTAATATGACCTTGTGAGTCTTCCGATTCGTGGAGGGATAGATCGGATTTCTCACCGGGGAGGATAGCATGTCCTCCAACGATTGAGTCAAAGCTCAGTCGTCTCTGTTTGCTTGTTGTCTTCTTCGTGGATGAGGCGTCCTTGGGTGGGGAAGACCCCAGCTGATGAGACCCATTGTTGATCGGAACTTGTGCCTGATGTATCGCTGATGCTACTGGTTCTCCCCCCGCCTTCGGGCCAACTCCCATTGGCTGTTGGTATGGAGCCGCTGGTCTCCAAGGTACTGTTCCTCCCATCCCATGTGAGATGGGGTAGAGAATATTTTGTCCGCTTACCTGTTGTGGTACTTGCGCATTCCATTGTCCAAGGGGTGGATGCCCCCAAGGCATGAAGCCATTGAATCCTGGCTGTAGTTGAACCTGAAGAGCGCTGACTTGTTGTTGTTGAACACCGACAAGATTGCTTGGATGTGGAGAAAACGTGGGGTTCATGGAGCTGGAGTACGGTTGAAACCCCTGCGGGAGGGGCTGAGGCTCCTGTCTTGGTCCACCTGATGGAGAGGAAATTCCCGGGGATGCCATATGTCCTTGATATGGAGGTCTTGACGATGCTTGTTGGCCGGCTGTTGGATCCTGTTGCTGCTGCCCCGACCTCTAGTTTCTTCGACATTTGTCCTCCGTATGGAAAAAAACTTGGCATCTTCTACATCTTGGAGTGTCCGACGATGCCAATTTCACCTCCAGTTGATCGCCTTCAAATGTCTCAAACCTTATCACATCCTTCATGTTAGCCCGTGCCGCTGGGTCAACGTCAAATTTGATGTTGACCAATGACGGTTTAAGTCTGTCCGGCTCCGTAGGATGACGCTGAACAATCGGGCCAATCGCCTTTTGGATATGAGCATCCAGAAAAAGCATCGCATCCAGTGGAACTTGCACTGCAATCACCCAAAAGGTAAGTTGGTTTTCCTCTCTTCTCTGCTCCTTCAGTTGTGCCTTGGTCATCCAAGGTTTGAATTCCAGCTTATATGTCGTTGATCCCAATATCAATTCATCTCGCTCCTTCATCACCAGCCACGTTGCGATGATATTACTTTTTGCAACGTAGGAGACAACATTCGGACTCTCCATCTTAACCCTTCCTCTTCTGAATCCCTCTCTTTCAAAGCTGCCTTCCTGA